TTTCGAACTAGTCGAGCATACATCATACATATATCCTTATTGAAATATTGACGACGCACTTTGGACACTGCATATACGTAGCATAAGTATAGAGAGAGATACGTTGTACGTTCTATATTTGTCACCTACCATTAAGTTCGCGATGCCGCAAGGCATCGTCTCCTCGTTGTCTCCCTCGGTCTCTAGTCGTCCTGTTAGTGTCCACCTATGTAAGGTGGTGACAAACTTCCGCCGGGCCCCTCGTTCAAAAACGTCAATGTGATGAGAGTGGGATTCGAACCCACGCCACGAATGACCAGATTGAAGGTAGTGGTAGAACGCGTTGGTCCCTAGTCTGGCGCCTTACACCGCTCGGCCATCTTGCCATACTTTTCCGGTCCAATTGTTCCACCAAGTATAGCGCGGGACCAGTCCATCTTGTGTTGATGGTGGCGCCCGATTGAACTCATCCACTGCCATCTCTATCTGCGCCCGAACTCTACCTCGTCTCATGCATGCCTGCCTGCACATCAATGACAGCGTATCATCTCTGAAAATGTTCTAGGGTGACGGTGACCCTCCAGAATACAGGACACTTTCAACCCTTTCAAACAACTCAGAAGTGTCGAAAAGGGCCCGTAAAAGGAGTTGTAGTTTTCCTGATGTTGGATGGAAATTCTCATCCACGCCAAACTGCTCAGTCCGGACTTCTTGCAGCCCGGCGACTGCAACATGGCAATTCTTCTTAAAGTCAGAGTGTCGTTAATCAGTGGAAGACCGACCGATATTGGTTATCGGTGGCTTGTGTTTGATGCTTCCCAAGCTTGTCTGTGTTTCAGTGAGCGCTGGTGATGACAACAACTGGAAGCATCTCGCAGATGTTTTTGTGCTCAGTCATTGGACTCCTGAATATGTACGCATCGAATGATTAAATCGTCAGTGGCTCGCTCAGATTGTGTGAATGGATATATCTGCATAGATAACGAAACCCCAAAAGTCAGGCCAGCAAGGGGACTCTATTGAACGTCGTGCCAACTCTCTACTCACTGGCTTGTTCTCCCATAAAAATGATTACCCCACAGGTGCATGACGAGAGGGAGATTCGAACTCCCGCTCAGAGCCACGACCTGCTGCAAGTTCTTTTTGCCACCTTGCAATAGTCACCTCAAGACTGCTTGGCCTTCTCACCATTTGTCATTGTACTACATGTTCTGGTGTAATCAATCTATCTCTTGAGGCAGGGGGTCTTGGGGAAGGGAAGAATTTAGAACAGGGTGAGAAGTATCCAATGGAAATGCCGAATTTTGTAGCTGCACTGGGTAGATATCACAATCACAATAGTAAGTAAACAAGTCAACTCTCTCAGCACAAGGACAGCTGGTACTTGGTGGCCATCGTACAATGAATTGATGAGCAGTGATTCGAACTCCCGCACCAATTGAAGGCTAGATTTTCATTCACGCCACAGCCCGCTGCCCACCGGGACGCGCGTGATGGTCTGGCACACTCGGCTATCTCACCATTGGTGGTTGTATACATCCTGGCATTGTTCATCTCTTGGGGTGGGCGAGCAGATGGAGAAGGAGAATTACGCGTTGAAGAGGAAAAGAGGGGAAGAAGCCATGCCTTTGCCAGGGAAAGACAAGTCCAAGACGAGTCGGCCGTCATTTGAGTGATGTCTGAGCAAATGCAAAAGTCGGGCCAATGCCAGCAGTAGAGTACCGTGCACTGCTCCCAGAAAAATTACAGCTAGTTGCAGAAGCTATGATGAGAGGGAGAAAGAAGTTGATTCGAACTCCCATGCCAGCAGGCCAGATTTCACGAGCTGAGACATGTGTACATCATTGGGTAGTCTGACACTGCTAGGCCTCCTCACCATGGGCTGTTGTGCATATTCTGGCTTCGTCCGAGGAGTCGATCTGTTGATGGAGAGGGTGATATTCGTCACAAGGCCAGATAAAAACTAAAATTCAAGGCCATGTCGTCGTGTAGGGCTGGAAAAAATTTACATACCTCTGAGCCCTATGTAATTCTCTCGGAAAAAGTGTCATGTATCCTCTTGATGAATGGGAGATTCAAACTTCTGCACTGAAAGAACATTGCTGATACACAGACCAGTGACTACCTCGTATCATCCATGCCAGAGTTGCTTCTCTGCACCGTGGTCTGCCACTGGTTCTGCATCGCCCAGGACCCCAAACATGGGCAGTTTCCATACAAAATCATTCAAGCAGGGCTATTGCAGTGATGAGAGTGGGATTCAAACCCATGCCACAAATGACCAGATTCACTGGAAGAGTGGCACCATGTTCCTGGACAAAGGAATTGAAAAATACTGGAAAAAGACTCCTTTGTATTCGATGTTCTCCAAAAACTGGTATTTTTCTTTCATCTTCTTTGAATCTTCTGACAAAGAAGATGGTGTCATGCTTCCAGTGATTGAGGTTATGCGTCCTAAGCGTTGGTCCTTAGTCTGGCGCCTTAGACCGCTCAGCCATCTCACCATGTCCCTAGTGGCTGATAGGTGACTCGGAGCAGGGCAGGGTCCATGAAGTCGATACATAGCTCAACCGGAGATGAGAGCAGCCCGGGTGCCCTCGAAGTTTGCATCAAGACCAATAACGTCAACTGATCCAAGTCATTACAATTTTACACAAGCATGTGTACTCTCAAGTTTGGGTCCACTACACATGCAACCAGATGATGACAGAGATTGAGAGAGACCATGCAACTACTCATCATGGGGTCGACTCAGACATGGCGGTTGGATGTGACAGGGCCAAGGAGCTTCAAAAGCAGTGAATGGAATGCAGGACCAAAGACTGATCGAGAGCTCAGGTGGGGCCAGGGTGGAGTCATAATTATTGAAATTTGCAGGGCATGGCATATGGGGAATGCATGCATGGTCGCATCGCTGCATGGAGACATGATACATCTCCAGTCAGTCATGTGCAACCCTGGATCATGGGGAACAAGGATCCCGCACAAAGATGACAATGCATATGTGCCATGTAGGCTTACTATGTGCTGTCACTCAGGCTGGTCGGTCATTGTCAGCAAGTAAGTAGCTGGGCGCACGCGTGATGTCGACGTCAAGGAGTCGAGCTCCCAAAGAAGGGAATCAATCAGAGTTTGTGTGTCAAACTTCAAAGCCAACGGAGGCCACAAGGTGCAAAAGATATAAGGAGAGCAGGAATCCCGAGCCTACGGCGTGCACATGGTTCGAGGTTGACAAGTCATAGCCATGTGTGGGCCCCATTCACAAGTTTGAGAACCCATGTGAGTAGCCAGTGACACAGTGACATATGGATAAATGTACATCAAGACATGCCGTCGACAGATTTTCAGGTTCAGAAATGGCTTCCTCTATGGGTCGTGCAGTATCTAAACCTTCATTTGGTGCAGAAAACCGAAGATTGCCGCCTCGACAGACGTCAGGGGTCTAGAGATTTCATGTGCTTTATACTACGAGAATGCGCGTAGGGTTACATGCACGTGGGGGAAGTCGGATGTCAAGTTTTCGCTCAAGTAAGCAAAGTAGCGACTTGGCGTACGAGAGTCAGCGAAGAGAAAAACCAGATGCCAAAGCCCAAGGGCCCCGATGAACTCCAGAATAGCCATGCCCAAGACTTCCAGAGAGCGGAGAAGCGGAGAGTCTGGAGATCCTTGTAGGCAGATTGTAGTGTGATCATCTGTGGTCATTGATCAGAATTCCGAATGCTGACGCGCACGCCGAATTGGGTGTTTCAATTTGTAGGCCTTTGAGAAATGGGAGCGCTCTCAGCGAAAATCCCTAAGATAGAAGAAGGAGCAACTTTACATCAGTGATCAGCATTTGAGGAAGCAAAACTGTTTCCCATCATTAGAAAAGCCCGGCCTTGCAGAGCGTCGCACTCCGCAATTTCTGTTATGACTTGTTCTATTTCCCTCCCCGATGTGCAGCCCAATGCCTACCAAAGGGACTT